AAGAGAAGACTAGACACTCATAGGAACATGCTAGAAAAGAAATAACATAGGCTATAGGTAGGTTTTCTGTTCTTACTACACATATCTGAATATGGATGTGTAAATGAAAAGCACAAAATCAAATGCAGAATTTTTTAAGTGATAAAAACAGGGTTCGTTTATGCATGAGGTGATATTGAGTGTTGTTTAGAGGTTTGGAGGAGTTACTATTTAATTGTAGTTCAGATGATGGAAGGATACATCTTTTCAAGATACTTGAAAAGAAACTGTATTAGAGCTGATCTTTATGATGAAATAAGGTGATTAGAAACTCCGCTTGTAGTTGTTCTAGAGTTACTGCTGGTCCCAAGCCCTGGTAAAGGAGGAGGGTTGGGCATGCAGTTAGCAACCCCATCCTGTAGAAAACTAACTAGCTAGGAAACGCTTACCAGAGAAAATAATTCAAACCATTGGACCAATAAACATTTACTCTCTTGGCATTTTACAAATCATCTTATCATTTACATTCCTCAAGGATCTGTCCCATGGATCTTCATCGCTTTATTACAATAGCTGGTGAATGTGACATGAAAATGTTGTTCACGTAAATGAAATCGAGTCTGGTTTGGCATTTTACACCTTAAAATGAAACATTTTCCAGTGTGAGATTCTGGAGATTGTTACATATTTCACTGAGATCGTAATCTGATTGCTTTCAGACAACCATTGAAAACATGGAAGCATTAGACGGCCGTTTCGTCCTAGCAGGTGGCTTCTCAACAGTGCGCGTCTTTGATGTCGTTCACAAGATTCTAAATCAAAACCTTCGGTCTCGTGAACGAACGCTTAACAACTAGACCAGTGAGCCGGCATCCAACGGTGTTAGCGCCCAACTTTAACCAACCCACGAAATTGTGGGACCATCTTCCACTGTCTGTGGTTAGTAAATGCCTCACTCCAATGGGTTCGAATCTCACTAGCCGGATCGTGAATGTACATTATTGAAGAGGACGTCACTAGGTCAAAACAGTTGTCCAATACATCCAGGATTTAAATGGTGGTCTAACATCAGTCGATTCATGATGTCAGTGAATATCATAATAATCTCCACAAATCCATACTGGAAAGTGTTTCCTTATTTTAATTCAATAGAGATTGTTTGTTTGTTCAACCAACACTAGAAAAGTTATTCGTTATCAGGTTTCATCTAACTGTTTCACTTCATTTATTTTATAGATAACAATATTTATCAGTCAAATAACACTTGGCAAATTACAATTACGTATCTTTCGTACAGAATATACTTTGGCTGCATTATTATTATATAATATGTTTTCAACTACATATTTAACCACTACTGGTATGATTTGTAACATAACCAGTACTTGTAATAGTTCAAATGCATCCATTTATCCATTCAACAATTTACCGGGTTATATAATTTGAACTTGAAAACTTATATATTACAAAACATAATCGGTTTTCATCTTTTTGTTTATTTATATCAAACTTTAAAACATCTAACCACCTTATAACATGTTTGCTTGTTGAATAAAGTTACGAATATGTGCACTCTGTGAGGTTTGTCCCGATATTGCCTTAAGTTACAAGCAGTTCGAGCAAAGATTGGAATCCAGTTTGACGCGTGTTTTGTCCTATTTGGGAGACGTCAGATGAATGTACCTGAATCTCATAGTTGATGTTCACTTCGGCACTCGAACCCAGTACCGTTTACTTCAAACGCCATCGAGTTATCCACTAAGCTACTGAATTCTGATAGCCACATCATCTCTGAGATGCAAGTACATCCATTTGACGAGTCTCAATTAGGATGGGATGCGCATCAGACTGAATTTCACTGCTAGCCACGATCCATCTTTGCGGTAAGACTATAATTTATGGAAGACCATTGAGCGACGGTGAGGTGACCTTGAGAGTGGGCAACTACTAATTGGGGCTAAATGAGGGTTATAAAGCAGTTGGAATTCCAATTTACAGTTGATGGTTAGGGTTAAAAATTAGATTGACGGTTTTTATCACGAACTCACATCAGTTACAATGTCAAAACTCTAACCAAATGCATGGAAGAATTTCGTGCCCGAATTCGTCACCCGTTGTCTTATATCTGATTGGTTCATCCAGAAATTATAGTCTCGCCCATCTTTGCTTATAAAGCTAGTGACTTAAGGCGATATCGAGGCAGTTCGCACAGGATGTACATATGCCAATAAGAGAGAGATTGATTAACTGCGGTCCTAGTAAACAATCAGAACATTCAAGTAAACAACACCAAATGAATTAAATAATCTCTCAACAAGATTATAAATCCTTTGAACAGTACTGTTCATTTTACATGACTTCATTCTGAGACTTAGATTGACATTTCTTGATTCTTATTAACATTTCTACACTTTCATGCTTATTTACCAACTAACGCCTGTTACCCTCAATGGAGAATGGGCCGTTGACTAGCATTCTCCAACCCACTCTGTCCTCAGCCTTCCTTTCTAGTTCTATCCGATTGTTATTCATTCTTCTCATGTCTGTCTCCATTTCTCGGTGTAATGTGTTCTTAAGTCTCTTACTTCTCCTTTGGCACTGGGGATTCTAATTGATGGTTTAAACCCTCATTGATTGATAAGAATTATGAAGATTATGATTACCTTAAAACGAACTAGTCATCGTATCGACTAATTGGGCAGTAGATAGATAGACAAACTAATTTATACGTTGGCTAAAACGTCGTCTATATAATAAACTGAATGTCGTCATAGAAGACACATGAAAATCAACAAAGATTAATGTGTATTTTAGTTAGCATAATGAATATGGACTGAGAACAAGGAATTATGCTGACTATTGTACTGCCTGTTTCATACAAATGGATTGTACATGCTTCTATATCATTATGACTCTATTCATTTCATTCTAATCAAGCTTCTTTTAAGCTATCAATATTTTAATAGCTGAATTGATGAGTCGATCTGATCGATATTCAGTGATACAACTGCCGGATGATCTGTCTGGCCCTACACCGTCATCTACTGTATTCGTATATACAAATACAAACAGTAGACGACGAATATCTCGTTCACTGATCACACTGCTTCCTCAAGTGTACATTTATAAAATATTTTGAACAGTTTCTATTACGTAATCTAGATGGAATACGGTTAACAGTGGAATCGAGTACTTGGTGTTCTTTTGAGACTTGAAGCAAATATTAACATTGAGATACTAGTTCATCATGCTGATGTGTTTCATGTAGGAGCTTTAATCAATTACATGAGGAAAATGATTTTGAGCTAGCTCCTACCGCATGAATACCATTATATGCTTTATTCTATACCTTAAACTTGTCAATTTATAAAAAACAACCAAGTAGCTCAAATACCTGAGACAAATTTATAAGTAAGGTGATCGTTCAAACGAAGTCAAAGGAAGTCGACACAAATTCAAATAAACCTAAAAATATTTTGCTGATGGTTGGCAAACTTATGGAGACTCGTCATCTGGATGTACCTGCATCTCAGAGTTGATGCTCACTCCGAAACTCGAACCCAGTACCGTTCGCTTCGAACACCATCGCATTATCTACTTTGCTACTGAGTTCATCCAGTAAATCCAGCCGACGAGTCCCAAATACGACGAGACGCGCGCCAAATCGGATTCAACTACTAATCACTATTCATCTTGTCTCAAAAAGCTTATGACTTACGACTATGTTGAGACAATTCGTACAGGATGCATATATGCCAACAAGAGATTGATTGATTGCAGTCGTAAAACAACAACAGAAAGATACAAGCAAACAAACAAAACTAAGAGAATTATATTGTTTTGTTAATCAATTTGCCGTTCATTTCAAAGAATTTGTTTATTTTTTTTAAAGATCAAACACAATGTCCTTTGTATTCAATCATGTTTGAGTGAACAGTTAGTTAAGAAAAACATCACAAGTAGTATTTTTTAAATTTGTTAATCATTCAAGTGTTTTAATGAAGTTAATATAAACAACATTTTGCATCATACACATAGTATTACACATAGACGTCTTACTAAACACAAGTGAGTTTATATTAAGATTATAAATGATCACTGAAAACCTGACAGCACTATATGACCATTCCATCTTACTATGGTACTCTTCCGTAGTGAGCATCCACAATCCTCCATGCGGCAATCGAACCCATGACCTTCGAACTCGAGCTTATTTCTTGATTATAGTTATGACGTCTATTGTAAAATGATATTTGATTCAAAACTAATTCTGATGAATTTGAATTGTTACAATAAAGCTTTATGAAATGTGTAGTCAGGATATCGATAGTTTTTAATAGAAAACGACGAAATGACACTGGTTTGCATACGCTTTGCACTTACATATATAATAGTTGAGATCATGAGTCAATTGAAGTTAGACCAACATGGGAAAGCTGGAAGAGCTGGACGGCCGTCTCGTCCCAGTATGGGACTCCTCAGCAGTGAGTATTCACGATTCCGTCTCGCTAGATTCCAACCTAGGACCTATCAGTCACACGTACGAACGCTTAATCTCTAGACCACTGAGCCGGCCAGTGTTAATATCTAACTTCAACCAATCTCTGAAATTGCGCCACCGTTCCTCATTGTCTTCGTTGAGTTCCCATCTGACAACAGACCCGGTTGAACAACACTGGTAACTGCTTTTCACTGGAACGCCAGGAAATGCCTTTTAAAGACCGTCACTATTGATCATATTTTGAATAATATCAGAAGGAGTTTTGTGGATATCATAGTAATTTAATGATTGAGTTCATGAGTCCATTTAAGCTAGACCATCATTCAAAAACTTGGAAGCACCAGCTTGAGTCCCGTGTGCGGTTACTTGGATACGCACTTCCTAGGAATCTCATAACAAGATGATACAGCTGTCTAATACTTCCAGATTTTCAATAGTCGCATAATTTAGACCGACTCATGACTTTAACTGTATCATACTACACAACTTGATTTATTTTATATTCTAATTCTAGATAAACATGTTTGGAATTGTTCAAATTATCCTATGGATTTACACTAGAAGAAGTAAACTTTCGAATATGTCGACATATACAAAAATAGTAGATTTATGGTTTTGAATTAAAGTTATTCATTATGACAGGTTTTCATAATTCTTACCATTCAACTACTTAATACACTATTCATCGTGATAATTTTCTCAACATCGTAAGTTAATGAATCAATTATTATCTTCATTCTTCTTTAGTTATGTAATTCGATCTCTGGGAGACTCAATGGTACGATCAATTGTTTTTAGTGTATTAGTGTACGTTTTCCCAACTTTATTTCTATATTATTTATAATCTCAATAGATGAGATCATCAGTCAATTGAAGTTAGACATCAAGAGGTATTTCATGAAGTTCCAGTGAGAAGCAGTGACCAGTGGAGTTCAACCAGGCTTGTTGTGAGATAGTAACTCACTGAAGACAATAATGGATGTATCGCTGAATTTCGTGAATTAATTTAAGTTAAACATGAACACCATTGGATGCTGGCTCAATGGTTTAGGTGTTAAGGGTTCGTGAGCGAGATCGTTACGTCATGGGTTTGGATCTCGTGAGGCATGATCGTGGAGGAGTTCCATATTAGAACGAAACGGTCTTCTAGTGCTTCAAGGTTTTCAATAGTGGTCTAACTCCAAGTGACTCATGATCTCAAATATTGAAATTACTATAATGTCCACAAAATCCCCTTCTCATATTTATAAACCGTTAGTTTTAATAATTTTATACTAAATTTCAACCAATGAAATCAATCCACTGAGAGAACAACATTTTCTGGACGAACCAATCAGATATTTCATAACAACTTTGGGATTTTGGCGCGAAATTCATTGAACCATTTGGTTGGCATTTTAACTGATATCATAGTCTGTGATGAAAAACCTGAATTCTAATTCTTAATCTTAACCATCAACTGCAAATCATAATCCCTTTTCCTCAAACTGCTTCATAACTGTCATTTAACCAAAAAAATTAGGTAGGCACTCTCAAGAACATTTTGTCATCACTAAACTGTCGTACATTATAGTTTCAATTTTCTTAACTACGATGTTATTTACTCATTCTTATTTTGTGGAACAGAAGTGTTGAAAAGAAAAACACACATCAGAACACTACTTCAGTTAACTGTCCAAAGGAGGATATGAGTTAGTAGATAGGTCAGTGTTTGATTATATGATCAACATAAACCAGCATGACAATGATGTCAAGTGTGAGCAGTCAATGTAGTCTGTTCAATAGTTTTATTTTAAAAAATTGTAAACGTTAAAGAAGAATAATTATGATTTACATCCTTCTATTAATCAGTCCAACTGATATTTTGATTAGATTATTCATTGACCAAACTGTTCTCAATAGTTTATTCATTGAAATGATGAGATTTATGTAGACACTAGACTGTTAGAAATATCCAACTCTATTTATAAAGCATTTCATGAACCGATGTTAATATTTGACATTGTTTGAATGACTTCACTTCATTTGTGACAAATATCCTGACTGAGCGCATGAATTGGTTTCCTAAGCTCTTCTAATAAGTTGCAGGCTAAATCCACATGACAACATGAACACGAAAGGAAAGGTATGCAATGTAGAAAGAACGTTTATTTCAGCGTTAGCTTGTGTTCAGAAAGTCAACAGTATTTACAACATTTCACGTAACCATGTGCTTCTGAAAGTTCATGGAACTCTTCTAAACATGGAATGAGGATGTGTAATCATCCAGTTAAAATATTAGACGCCCCAATTCACATTCTAAATGTTTCTTGGAAACGTCTATGCAGTGCTGATTAGATTTAGCATTTCCTAGAGTTTTCTGTGCCTTCTAAAGTTTTTCAGGGAATATCCTGGATCTCCCTAACAATCTGGTGAGCCACATGTTTTAAATAAACTTCCATAACTGAATTACTTACATCGTAGCAAAGTTAATTACACGCCTAGTAAGGAAACTGAAATATTAGGTCACATTTTGAATGATGAACAACTAAGTATTATGATAATAATGATTTATCAGATGAATTCATGACTCAATCAAAGCTTGACCACCATGTAAGACCTGGAATAATTGAACGACCGTTTTGTTCTGACATATGACTCCTCAACAGTGCGCATTCACGATCCCACACTCGTGATCCAAACATAGGACTGATTGGTCTCACGAGCGAACGCTTCACCTCCAGACCACTGGAACGGCATCCAACAGTGTTAATGTCTAACTTCAACAAACAATATTTCCTCCAAAACTTATTTATACACTAAAAAACATTTCAAAATGACTTATCCAACTATCGTCTTTTCATCCGTAACCGTTGCCTTTTTACTGTGTTAGGATATTCAAATCTTATTACATTCATTTTTAGATTAGTAAGTAAATCCTCCACTGTGTTTAGATGTCCATTTTTTTTCTCTACTTTATAGCTTCATTGCTGTTGTGACAGCATTATTGATTGCATTTGTGAAGGAAATAAGTGATACATTCCCATTGAATGTTATTACTTTGTTTATTTATGTAAGAATATTGAATGTAATTGATGAGTTATGTTCTAATATAACTGAGCAACATGATTGTTCAATGTATTAAGCAAGTTTATATGGTTTACAGTAACTTGATGGATTATATAATGAGCTTTTGTCAATCATTGATCTATACAATAATACAGATCAAATGTTTTGTTATTAATTAGTGCTGTCATCCAAATATTAAATTCTTTCTGTGTATAAACCAATAAACTTGAATCTCTGAACGATTCCTAGTGTCACTTATTACGTTAAGCTCATTTACCTTATTCTATCCTCTCGATAATCCGTTTTGTCTTAGTATGGGACACCTCGTGTATGCGTATTGCTGAGAAGTCCCATACTAAGACGATACGGTCGTCCAGTGTTTTCAGATTTTTAGTGCTGGTCTAACATTGATAGATTCACGATCTCAATCAAAAAAGTATTACGTAACTTAAGATTATGCATTTCGCAGTGGACAGTTTGAAGACGTCTCAATCATAAATTTCATATTATTTTATACACTGAAAAACAATTGCATTGGAATTTGTCTACGTAAATTGCTGCATTATTCATCGAGTTTTCAGTTGGTATTTTTACGGAAGTTCTCTAGAACACTCAGTAGACCAACTTATATCAATCGGCCTTCATGTGGAAGCACAGTTCGCTCACCAACATCCTTCAGCCGAATCTGTACTGAGCAATTCTTTCCACTTCTTTCCAGTTGTTATTCATCTTAATCATGTCTGCTTCAGGTTCTCGTCGAAGTATATTCTTTGGCCTTCCTCTTTTCTGTCTTCCTTTAAAATTCCAAGTTAGCGCTTGCCTCGTGATACAGTTCGATGATTTTCACTATGTGTATCCTATTCACTTCCAGCGTCATTTCCCGATATTCTGTTGATCCGCAAGTTGTTCTGTTTGCTCCCATAGAGGTCGGCTGTTACTGATGGTTTCCAGTCAACGAACATTAAGCACTTTGCGTAAACAATTGTTTAATAATACTTTAAGTAATGGTTAGACGGATAAATGTTTATTACCTTATTAGCAGTTTGACGAACAATCTGAATCGATTAACAATGGATTGATAAATATTATATCATCAAACTTCTGAATACATTGTTGTTTAAAGGTGTGCATCGTCCATTTCATAATTTCAGACGATAACCTTAGCTACAGCTATTGAAATATTAGATATATTGGTGGATGTGCGTGCTAAACTTGGTGCATTTGGAATCAGTCTAACATTATTTACATCGGCATTACTTATTGGTGCAGCTATCAAAACAAGATTAGGAGACTTTAACGGCTATTGTAATACTGCTTATAATCGCTGCTATTTTAATTGCTGTAGCGAGTATTTTAATCACAATTTTCAAACACTCGGTATGTCAATAAACATAATTCATTCATTCACAAATTAAGTTATCTCGATTTTGCGGTATTCTCTGTGAGATACTCAGGTGTAGTTTACTGTTACTTTATACTATGTATATTTTCACAACAAATACATACTGGTGAAATACTATTTAGTATTTAGACACCTAACTGACGAGTGCCAAATAACACGAAACTCGAGTCCAGAGTTTCCTGTCGACTAAATCCAACCACCATCTTATCACAACATAATGCATACAATGTCGAGTCACCTAGACTAGTGACCACATTGCAACTTTGTCGATAGGATTCGATCTGCACTAAGAAGGACCTGATTCACATGACATTGATCACCATCCAGTGATCAATAAATTGTAGATACATCTCAGTCTAACAAGAGGTCAGTTGCGACCTGGATAGCTCAATGATAACGCTACTGAGATTTTTATGTTGGATCCGATGATATCATTCAGTCTTATAGTAATTTAGAAAATGAACTTGTATTTTTCATCAAATTTAGATAATTGGGATTCCGGAAAATATTTATGGTCATTCTTTCAAGTCAGTAACCAGAATCTTAGCCGACTGACCATAATTTATGGACGAATCAATGAGGTATGAAATTCAACAATCTCTCACTGACAGTTATCCTGTGCTTAGCAGTGACTAGCATTGAGAAGAAATTTCCGGGGCTCCAGTAGAACTAGTAGACATAATGCGTGTCGGGTGTAAGAAAGTAACTCATCGAAGATAATTGCGCAATGTCGTAGATTGATTGGAGTCAGATAATAATACTGTTGGATGCCAACACAGTTGTTTAGAGGTTCAGAATTCCAGAATGAGATTGAAGACCCTGGATTCGATGGGCAGAATATATGAATTATAATTGACAGAATGTAAGAAATGTATTACCAGCAGCAGGAATATTGATAATTTCAGTACGAAGTTGTAGACATTGAAGAATTCCATTTGTAAGCACTAGAATATCGTTACGTTCTAATAGGAAATGATTCATCGATGCGCATCTACGATCTTTACAACCGAGATTCGAGTCCATGGCCTTCAGTGTGACCCACGAATGCTTAACATCTTGACTCCAGTGTTCTAGACGCTGAGTATACGTGATCTCAGTAACATCATTTACCTCATTTAATCCAGTCATGTTTTCATAATATCCGATTTATACACAACTTCCGTTAGTTAAATACGAACTCATCAATATGTTTAATTCATTTTCAGCCATCAGCGATCATATTCTACATACTTACAGATATATTGCTATTTGCAGTGAGTTAAAGTCATCTGTATTTCATTTACTTAACGTAAATTTGTAGTGGCTGGTACTATTTCAAGCCCATCTAACTTATTTTAGCTCACGGACCTCAAGTGGTGTTCGTCAGGGGTGTCCACTTTCCCCATTCTTGTTCAACTTTGTCATTGACGTACTTTTAGAGATAACACTCTCCTCATCTAAATTTACAGGGGTTGAACTTCTACCAGGAGGTTCACTTGTTGACTTAGAATATGCTGATGACATAGTTTTATTTGGTGAAGACGCTGACAAAATGTAGAGTCTTCTGACCACTCTAAGCAACAATGCAGGCATGTTCGGGATGCGATTCTCTCCCTCGAAATGCAAAATGTTGCTTCAGGATTGGGTTGCATTGACACCCGAACTAATGATAGGGAGTGAAGTAGTTGAGTGTGTCGACCGCTTCACTTATCTTGGAAGTCTCATCAGCCCTTGTGGTCTGGTGTGCGACGAAATCTCAGCACGGATACAGAAGGCTCGACTAGCTTTTGTCAACTTGCGTCATTTATGGCGTAGGCGAGATATCCGTCTATCAACCAAAGGACGTGTTTACTGCGCAGCAGTTTGTCCCGTCCTACTTTATGGCAGTGAAACATGGCCGGTAAGAGTAGAGGATATTCGTAGGTTACTAGTATTTGATCATAGGTGTCTTCGAAACATTGCTCGTATATCATGGGACCATCGAGTGAGTAACACAGTTGTTAGGAAACGAGTACTAGGTAAGGATGGCAAATCAATTGATGAAGTAGTGAAACTTCATCAGTTGAGATGGCTGGGACGTGTTACGTATGCCCAACGACCGACTACCTCGACGTGCTATGTTCAGTGGTATAGGAGTAGGTTGGAAGAAAGCTAGGGGCGGCCAGACCAAAACATAGCACAAGTCCATGAAGTCACTGACAAGTGGTCTGAGTCATGTCGGTAGGTGTAGACTACCTGGTTGGGGACCGCGAGATGATAGCAACCGATGGTTAGAGACCCTGAATGACATGGCTCAAAATCGTTTGCAATGACGCAGGTGCATCTACTCTTTGTGTTCTCCCAAATTTTGATCTCCTTATTCCTCCTTGTCTCTTTTTTTTCTCCTCTCAAATTTATTTCACTGTATTATACTCTTTAAGTAACATCTCCAAACACTAATCTTCCCGAATACTGCTTATACTCTTATTACCTCTACTACTACGGGATTTGAATCAACCACTGCATCTCTATGCTAATGTGGTGTGGCAACTCGAACTGATGTACATACGTACGAGGTTCTACGTTGTTACTGACTGACTGACACACGGACGGACCGATTTATTCATTCTTTCTGAGTCATATCATCTTATCAGTTACATTCATCAAGAATCTGTTCGATGGATCTTCATCGCCTTATTACAATAGCTGGTGAATGTGGCATGAAAATGTTGTTCACGTAAATGAAATCGAGTCTGGTTTGGCATTTTACACCTTAAAATGAAACATATTCCAGTGTGAGATTCTGGAGATTGTTACATATTTCACTGAGATCGTAATCTGATTGCTTTCAGACAACCATTGAAAACATGGAAGCATTAGACCGCCGTTCCGTCCTAGCATGTGGCTCCTCAACAGTGCGCGTCTTTGATGTCGTTCACAAGATTCCAACTCAAAACCTTCGGTCTCGCGAACAAACGCTTAACAACTAGACCAGTGAGCCGGCATCCAACGGTGTTAGTGTCCAACTTTAATCAACCCACGAAATTGTGGGACCATCTTCCATTGTCTGTGGTTAGTGAATACCTCACTCCAATGGGTTCGAATCTCACTAGCCGGATCGTGAATGTACATTATTGAAGAGGACGTCACTAGGTCAAAACAGTTGTCCAATACATCCAGGATTTAAATGGTGGTCTAACACCAGTCGATTCATGATGTCAATGAATATCATAATAATCTCCACAAATCCATACTGGAAAATGTCTCCTTATTTTAATATATATTCAATAAAGATTGTTTCTTTGTTCAACCAACACTAGAAAAGTGATTCGTTATCAGGTTTAATCTAACTGTTTCACTTCATTTATTTTATAGATAACAATATTTGTCAGTCAAATAACACTTGGCAAATTACAATTACGTATCTTTCGTACAGAATATACTTTGGCTGCATTATTATTATATAATATGTTTTCAACTACATATTTAACCACTACTGGTATGATTTGTAACATAACCAGTACTTGTAATAGTTCAAATGCATCCATTTATCCATTCAACAATTTACCGGGTTATATAATTTGAACTTGAAAACTTATATATTACAAAACATAATCGGTTTTCATCGTTTGTTTATTTATATCTAACTTCAAAGCATCTAACCACCTTATAACATATTTGCTTGTTGAATAAAGTTACGAATTCTCTATGTTCATTTTGTTCAATGAAAACATCAAGGAATCCCTTTCAAATATTTAGTGCGTTTTGTGGAATTTGAGAAAACTAAGCTGTGAAATTTTGTACTGTTTGTTTGAATCTTCTCATTGTTTTCTGGGTCTGCAATTGATCAGTCTTTCTATTATTGGCATATGTGCACTCTGTGAGGTTTATCTCGATATTTTCTTAAGTTACAAGCGTTTTGAGCAAAGATGGACAACGGTTAGTATTGGAATCCAGTTTGATGCGTGTTTTGTTCTATTTGAGGCTTGTCAGATGAATGTACCTGAATCAGAGTTGGTGTTCACTTCGGCACTCAAACCCAGTACCGTTCACTTCAAATACCATTGCGTTATCCACTTATATACTGATTTCTGATAGCCACATCATCTCTGAGATGCAAGTACATCCAATAGGCTGTCGACTAGCATTCTCCAACCCACTCTCTCCTCAGCCTTCCTTTCTATCTCTATCCAATTGTTATTCATTCTTCTCATGTCTGTCTCCATTTCTCAGTGTAATTTGTTCTTTCGTCTCTTACTTCTCCTTTGGCCATGAGGATTCCAATTGATGGTTTAAACCCTCATTGATTGATAAGAATTATGAGGATTATGATTACCTTAAAACGAACTAGTCATCGTATCGACTAATTAGGCAGTAGATAGATAGACAAACTAATTTATACTTTGTCTAAAACGGTGTCCATATAATAAACTGAATGTCTTCACAGAAGTCATATGAAAGTCAATGAAGATTAATATTTATTTTAGTTAGCATAATGAATATGGACTGAGAAAAAGAAATTATGTTGACTATTGTACTGCCTATGTCATACAAATGCATTGTACATGCTTCTATATCATTATGACTTTATTCATTTCATTCGTATCAAGCTTCTTTTAAGCTATCAATATTTTAATAGTTGAATTGATGAGTCGATTTAAGCTAGACCACCATTGAAAACCTGAAAGTAATGAACACTCATTTCGTCCTAATATGAGACTCCTCAACAGTGCTCATACCCGATCCCACACGCAGAACTCGAATCGAGGATATTTGGTCTCGTATGCAAACACTTAACCTCTAGATCAATATTTGTTGTTCTTAAATACATAAGTACATTAAGAATCTTGAGCATTTTCATTGAACTGACACACAGTGTACATTAACTTCCTTTACACATGACTCATTTGTGATTTCTGAGTATAAAATAAAATCTTACACAACGAAATATTGAGAACTAATGTCATCAGGATCTTTTGATAACATGTTGTTGGGGATTCTAGATTCTCAGATATCATTTGATAAACCCTCATTTCAAACCAATGGTACACATGGGCTCCATGATCCTGAAGGAAAAAATAGCGGAGGAACAAATTGTTGATCACTGGCTACCATAGGATTGCATCTCCTGACGTTGTGCCACTGGCTTGTGGATCAAAACTTCAGGTCGAAGGCTCCGGGTGTGGCCTCCTAAGAAAACCATCTGCTTCGGTTTCGTCACCCAGGCAGTATCACAGCCCTCATACAAATCTAATGATTCATGTGGCGGATATCTATTTGGTGCCTACCCTTGTACCAATGTTTATGTGCTTAAATAAATAAATATTACTATCATCGACTTGATTATTATAATTTCTCACACAGTAACATCATATATAAAATAAGTAAATTGAGAAGTGTAATATAATTTTAATAGAACTTTTCTTATTGTAATTAATATAAGGAAGAAAGAATATGAAAATGCACAATGTTCAGATATACATGATATTCATTTAAATGTGTCAACGTGATAAACTTTAGAAACAAACAGAAAACAAGAACATAGAAAATAAAACAGTTGTTGGTAACAGTCGATGAAAATGATTAGATTAATTAGTTAATTCAATTTAAAGCACATCATTTCCAGGATCATCTAAATCATTATATGATATCATTGTTCGTTCACCGGTCGTAGTACCGCCGCCACCACCAACTGGACGTCTGAAAGTTAAGAAAAAGGTAAGTATAATCTTGCCAATAAATACGAGAAGTGATGTTAACAAAAATTTATTTAACAAAAACTTGTGGAACACTATTCTTATTCCAATTACAATTATATCACTCTCATTTATGATATAATATCCTAGTTCTACTTTCACTGAAACTCTGTTGAATTAAACGGTGTCTTTCCTTTAGCTGACTGGTCATTGTTTTATACTTAATTATCTATGCACGATAATGTTGTATTTCGAAAGCAAAATGATCCAAAAACTTAATGAAGGTGACCTGGTTAAGAAACTGAATGTTCACAGGATAGGAACTTGAGAACGATCACTACCGACCATGCAGGTGTATTGTTACACACGTGTATTAGACAAACCGTATAAACATTTAAGGGAATTATGATTGTGATTAGTAGCTGAATAAATATTGGATACAAGCATCACACGAAATCAAATCGATAGCCACAACAAGGCTGATATTTTATGTAATTATTCCTATAAATCTTAATTTGCGTACTGGACGGACAGAGCGAATTTAATTTGAGATTTCCAGATGTTAGCATATGAAACTGATTACTAAACAGTTGGTCAGTTATGAGCAACACAGAAAATGAAATATGTGTGTGTTGGTCCCATTTCCTGTATCACGTTAACACAGAGACACAAAATTGTCGAGATAAATTTCCAGAGTAGTACAAGTAGAAACAGTGTCAACAGTAGTAGTAAAGACTAGGTATAGGAAAAGAAAGAAAAAGGTGTACGGAGATTTCGGGACATAATTTATAAGAGAAGTAAAAGAGTAAATGCACCGGTGCCATTGAGAACGATTTTGAGACATCCCACATAAGGTCTCCAACCATTAGTTACGACAATCACGCGGACCCTAACTATGTAGTTTACACTAATTTACACGGCTCAGTACAACTATCTATCAATTTAAGAACTGGTCCCACGTCTTACTTTGGCCGCTCATAGCTTTCTTCCAATCTACTCACCCCTAAGCCAGGCAACATCACCCGTCGATGTACGCGGTCGAGCACATACCCCAACTACGTGAGTTGATGAATAGTCACCACAACATTATCAACTGATTTGCCATATTTACCTAGCATTCTATCCCTAAACCCGGGATTATTCATTCAATTGTCCTAAAATGCACGACCGATGCTTCGAGGATATCTATAATCAAGACTAATGCGATCCTAGAATTAGATCCCGGACAACATGGTGTGGGCTGTATACTAGAGAAGAGCTCCACGGTAACAGGACCGACTGTTTTTTAATTGAGATTTTGTCCTCAATGAAAGCCCTCTACCAGTTTGAGATAATTCGCGAAACCTTCAATTTGATTAGACAGAGTACAGAATGAAGAAAGATCCCATTAAAAACAATGTTCATTTTTACAACTGCTTAGACAAGATTTATTGAACAAGTTCTACTATGATTGATTTGTTCAGAATCACAGATCAATTAAGAATAGCACAATATGCAAAAAAAGGGGAAACGTGATAAATCCGGCAGAAAATACAAAGATGGAGAGATTCATACACAAAACTCATGATATACAATCAAATATTAACAAGATTTTATCGGAATCTACTGTTTAGTGTCCTACCAACCTTGCATCACCTACCGTCTGATAAGTGTATCAAGGGTTTAATATATACAAACATAACAGTCATAACTGTAGCTTACCTATTTGTCGAATAGTTTGTAGGCTGTCTCCGGCGATTATCCAATGTACTACTACTACTACTATATGGTCGATGATTGAAATCATGAGATGGTGAAGAACCACGTTGACCACGCGACCTAGACATTCCAAGACCCGTGCGAGGTGCACCTGCCTGTGCAGCCAATGCATACAAATCAGCTGCTGTCGCAGCGTTTGGATATAAAGCGGCAGCAGCTGCTGCTGCTACAGCCGCCATAGCTTGGTGTTGTTGTTGTTGAGCTGCCACATCATAATAGTCCTGGACAAAGGGAAAAATAGTTGAGTAATGGAATTTACAAGACAATCCAAAAAACTTTACTTAATAAATGACCTGTAACTCACAGAAGGATTTAAGAAGTTTTTTCCGCCTTATTTGGAACTTATTGGGTGGATATACCTGCATCCTAGTGTTGATGTTTCACAGATTGATACTCTGACCCATTGCCCTTCACTATTAAATTACAAGGCGTCGTTAACTGAGCTACTATTAGGTGTAGATAGCCACAAATTTGTTCAATAAGTATGATGTTTATATCATTATTAGTATTTGGGTTTGAATAATAATGAAATAATTCATAGTTATTAATGATGGTATAAACTTGAAAAGCTATTACAACGCTGGTACTGACATGAGTCATTTAGTTCGAGATGTACAACTTTTCTTAAACACTAAGATAATCAGTCAAAATGATTAGATAACAGTCGATTTTTTAGTTCATTATATCACCATTAAAACAATAGTGAAATTCAAGATATACCATCGACAAATTCAATTATGTTAAGTTTAAATGGAACAAAAAAGCACCCAGTAGTAGTAGTAGTAGTATAGTTAGAAATCATTATTAACGCAAGCTTTGGTAAGAATCAGTGTCTATTCAAAGTTTCAAATATCAGTGAATTGAGAGGAGGGAAATTAACATGATGAGTATGAACGGACAGGAAAATATGCACCAAAATCGGTAAAAAAACATATATATAAACAAAGTATAAAAGAATACAAATGGAATAAATGTGGCCGAAGGATGGTAAATAAGTAGTGAAACTGAAGCCAAGACTAAAAGGAACATAGTGTATACAATTGTACGAATACTACCAGATTTGTGCCGTGGCGTCTAACATCTTTAACCATTAATTATTACTATTCTATTGGCTCTTAGTCCATTAGGAAGGTTTACATATAGCTTCATCTACCGATTTTCCGTTTTTCCCTAGTAGTACCTTACTACAATAAACAACCAGTAATTCAGGAAAACCTATGATCACATAATTCCGGTCTAAGCATGTCTTCTATAGTGTTTTTCAACCGTAGAGCAATACTTGAAGGATTGCTGGGCGGCAAACTTGCGTTAATAGTTGGTAGACGGACAGTATAGTAGAAGCTTAAGTTATCACATTTCATGTTATAAATTTTCTCAAGTCGCTCATAAGACACCTTTTTATCTCTGAATTCACAGAAATGAATAGTAAACAAAATATATCAACAATATCGAAACGAAAATAAGTTGTATGTATACAGCATACCTGAAAAGTTCCAGTACCCCGTACATAACTTGGTGCTGTTGAAAGAAGTGAATTATTCCTATATCCACGATAACTTCCACCCGTATTACCACGTCCAGAACCTCTACCTCTGTATGTATGATTATTACTATTTGAATTCGAACTCAAAGATGGATAATATTGATTTAACAAATGATAAGGAGCTTCTGGTAATGATGGACGTCTAGGATCTTTCAAATAGTTATTATAAAATATTGCATTGTCTTTTTTAGCTGCTTCTACCTTGTCCATGTGTTTATTGAAAATATGTTTACGAACAAAAATTGGTTCACGGAATTTCTTGTCGGATAATGGACATACCCATACAACTTTAAATCTAAAATAGTTTCGTTGCATGTGTGATTAGTTAATTTAATGAATTACTAAACAAAAAATATCAGTGTAAAACACTCATACTTCGACTATAATTATCCATTCAATTTAATTGTGTCATGCACGAACTCTTATGAAACTTCTGTGAACAGTTATTAACAAGAATCATTGGGAAAGGAGCTTGTAGGAAAATATAACGTGACATATACATAGAAGGATCAAATCTCGATGATCGAGGTAGTTAGACTGTCTCTTACAATTATTTTTTTTATAAAACCGTGTGACTCAAGAAGGTCAGTGAAGTCAGAAACTTCAAAATGCAAACCTCAGAGCAGTGCACTTGTTAATTATGAACATGTATAAACACATTAACAGGTTATTGTTCAGTATTCTCCATCTATATTCTTGTAACGTTGAGACACAGCAACCTAAATAACCTTAGCTTAATTCTGTATGTTGAAATCGAACAATTTAGTGTACACTACCACTACTGGTGTTACAAGCCCTTTGACGAAACAATTATATCTACACTAACAAGTTATGTTAATGTGATATAGATTGGATTAAAGCATCTTCCGTGCAGGATTATGTTGAGGCACGCTAATTGGGCTACTTCTTAACCAATCAGAGTTTGCGGAGACTTGGAGAAGACTGTAGAATTTTATGTAAAAATTATAAATATACTAACGTTTTTCTTGTTGTGGTTTTTACTTCCATCGACTTTTGTTATTGAAATATCATTACATTCCTGCTCAACTGTGTTCTGATATGGGGATTTGTCGAGTGAAGTAATGTCCAAGAACATTAAGCAGGTTAATGAGTAGTTACACAAATTCCATATTAAATTTTACATTTATTGGTGGTGATCATATCCTAATATTTGATTCTAATGTGTTAGTGGTGGTTAAAGTAAGCCATGATTAAGTGATGAGCGAAGATAAACATACCTAGCTACAGTCAATATAAAAGACCATTTTCTACGTAAAACGGATTTTATTGTGATTCAGTTCTGTTGATAACTGACACTTTGTCTCAAGATACTATTGCCCTGATCCCAATTATTGGTGTTCGGGTTCACGTGAACTAGTATAATGACGTATATAGTAATAATCTGATGCCAGTTTAGTCTTTGGTCCAATATCTAGTTACGATATTTAGTAGTTTACTGATCACGTTTCTACTACCCATCTCCTATTACAACAGATTCTGTCATAACTTCATTGTGAAACACAGAAATGTGAACTACTGCACAATCAAGTTATTCAGTCAGTAAATGAATACCATGAATACTCTTTAAGTTAGGTGATGTTTAACAGTAGTCCAACATTTCTATTTGTCTCTATCCATAAACATTCAAAACACTCAGTTCTGATAACTTTTTTTTTAAAAAATAATAAAAGAACTACACTTACGGTTTTTTCTTGCCAGTTCTTTTTTGAATATTAGCTTCAACGAATTCTTCTGCAGCTTTTTCAGGATCTCGCATACCTAACTTTTTCATTTCCTCTTCAGTTAAATCTTTTGGTACCTCGATAAGAGTACGCAATTTTAAAGCGAAATTCTAAGATGAAAATGTTGAAATCAAGAAAAAAAAACCATATAGAAAAATATGTTAACATCATAAATAAATAATATATTTGTAATATCCCAATGAGTAGAAAATTAGATTTTCTGACGTTTCGTGACTTAGTGTAAGTCACTTCTTCAGTGAATAAATAACATCAGTTTACTAATTAAACGGATGTAAAATTCATCAAAACAATCAACCAATCAAAAGAGATAACAAATCTATTATTCAAATGTAATTTATATGTAATAATCGACAATCTTAACTACATAAAGTGTGGATCGGTTAAGCAAGCCATCACAAAAACAACAAAAATAAGGGGGTTACTGAACAGTATTGTATAGACTCAATTTCCCATTATCGAATTAAGAACTCAAAAAAGAAAAAACATAGTTTTCATGATAGTGACTTGACAACTTGAGTTGATGTAGTATTGTAGTGAACGAGAATGCAAATGGGGACAATCAAATGTATTTCAAAACAAAATTACAGAATCAATTAGTAAAATCTGAGAACCATACGGCAAACTCATTATTTGCAAAATATCTAGCAATTGTCTCATACTTGACTGATTCTTCTTTTCCACATCAATCAATGTCTGTCCTCGTTCTTGTCTCTTCGATCTTCTTGACCTTCTGCCTCCAGGCATTTCATTTTCGATTGGTGAGACATTTTAATTGTATCTGTCGACATCAGTATCACACAACAAAGCACTAATGGTCCGTTTACAAAATATTTGACTCGAAGTTTATCACAAAAGATGGAACGAGTTCAAAACGTGAGACATATTAATTAAAGATTAAGTACTGTAACCAAATTCCAAGCTACTGCTATACTTGGAATATGAACACCTTTAAATTTAGAGGAAAGAAGTAAAGTCAAACGTCCTTAGACATTACAATTGGTTAATATCACTGCTGGAAATAATGTTTTTTGTTAAATGAATTCCCAGGAATTGATCTCTTTCCAGGAAGTTCACTTATCGACTTGGAATACGCAGATGACATAGTCCTGTGTTGGCGAAGACACTGATAAAGTGCAGTCTTTTGGTAGCACTGAGCAACAACACCAGGATGTTTAGAATGCGATTCTCTCCATCCAAACGTAAATTGCTGCTTCAAGACTGGCATCAGACCTTGAAGTCACTAAATTCTAATCTGAGCCATGTTAGTAGATGCAGACTACTTGGTTGGGGCCCGCGTGACTATCGTAACCAATGGTTGGAGATTCTGGGTGACATGGGTCAGAATCCATCACAATGGCGTAGGCGTATAGACTCCTCGTCTTCCCTTAAACCGTGAGATCAAAATTACTTTATACCTTTCATTCTACGAATTAACTGTTCCTATATTATATCCTTATGTACAACCTTTATTTTATATATTACTACCATTGAAGTGACTACTTCTATGAATTTGGTGTTCATCTTGTTATGCTAATAAGACGTGGCAACTTGGACTGGTGTATATATGTGCTTGGTCCTACATTGCAACTGACTAACTAACTGATACCACTATATATGCACTAATGAAAACACAGCAGCATGTTAGAAAATTGCATTTACTTGTGCTATTAATTCAACTGGATCTTGTGGTCAACGATTTGGTTGAAATTTCTTATTATGACTGGTATTCTATACAAAGGATATACGATTTGTAATGACTGAACAACAAAAAACATAAATTCTGTAACGATGCAGTTATTAAAATATGGACTAATGCTAATCAAACCTAGTTTTTCCCCCATCTCTCGTGAGTATTAGTAGTCTTATGGGGTCGTGAGGTTCCTAGTAGAGTACACAGTGCTGAAAGATAAGATCAAAAACTAAAGAGTATCCTCATGTTTTAAAAGAAAAAGTTGTAAATATTATTTATGATCAACAGTAATCTAATCTGTGCAGTCAATCAGTCAGGTGCAATGTAGAACTTGGCACACGTGTACATAGGTTCAATTCACAGACCCAATTACTGCAGATAGCTGGAATTGTTAAGACAAATCCCTGAATAGTAGAATTCGTAACAGTATCAGTGGTAATATAAAAGACTAAGTATCGAAGATACGACTCTATAGGATATAAACTAGTGAAATAAAAAAATTGTGGAGAAATCAGCTTAGATATTTAGCCATTAACAAAGAATGAATGCATCTGGGTCAGTACAAGCGCTTTTAAGCCATGTCATTCAAGGTCTCTAACCACCGGTTATGATAAACACGCTTCAACTGTTATTTGATGTAAAATGTCATCGTTTATCTTTCTTATCATACCTGAAGGTGATCATTAATTTCTCTTTGAGTGAAAGCCAGACCACTAGGACGAGCACCAGGAACAGGATTTATTCCTCTGTCACCTCTTGCATGAAGAATTCCACATCGATGAGGCATGAGATCCTCCATGGGATAGATAGCTCCTGCATAGTAATCCATAGAATGGACAATACGTAAATAGAGTATTAACAAATCTAAAGTACGAGCCAAATTAGGGTCGGATTCCAATGTTACAGTGTGAACACGTCCAACTACAGTATTACTACTATTGTCACATCCTTCACCCTCTGCTTGAGTTTCCGCTGGATATTCCAAACGTTGGAGAAATTAAAATAATGAATATTGATAGGATAAATACAATTGAAACAATATTAAGGATTAGACAAAAACACTTACATAAATTGGTTGTAAAAATACAAGGAATTAGTCCAGGTTAAGTGCGTTTACATTGTCTTTATTCTCCTATTATTCAACTTATTGCCCCGTATTGCCTTACACTACTTGTTAATATTCAGTAGACAGTTCCATTCCTAATAACTTCTGAGCTCATGATGTAACGCACGTTTATTGGTCCTGTAATATCCTAAAGCATTTACACTAACTAATAACACTTACTGCATTTATCATTACAATTACATTCTCTCAACCCTTTTAGCCGTTATCCATAATTTCTGTCCATTCTTTGAATGGTTTTAAGAGCAACAGTTTCCATAGTTGTGTTCCCAGTCCTTACGTTGATTGATAGTAATTGTTGTCGACTTTCGACACAATTACAGACCCAATGACGGTATTTTATATCTTTCTCTTTCCAGGCACACAGACGCATTAACCGCCACAGAGGCCTCATGAGTTGAGATTTGTAACCAATCTATGTATATTTCTTAATAACAGAACTGTCCTTTAGACAAATCGTTGTTTGTTGGACTTCGACTTCATCCGAATCTCAGCTGTGTATAGTTGGACGCTTCGATAGAATTCACAATACGTTTGTTGCAGTAGAAAGCATAACAATCATTTGCAACTTTTTTTACTAGTGACCATTGGAAGATTTCATTTACGGGATGAAACAACATACAAATATGTACTCAGAGCTTAGAGCTACACTTAGGATGCGCGAGAGCTGATGAATACTACTAACCTGCTGGCCAAACCATTGTAAGCGATGAAGCAATGTTTCAAGCTGAGACCTGGCTTAAAGCCGAATTCGTTAACCACTAAGCTACATTGTTTTAAAAAACATGGCCATATGAGACAAGTGTTTTTATCAAAACATTGTCATGATAAGTACATTTTAAAATTACAATGTCGAAAGGCTGTTACAATGAAAAAGCTTCATAATAGGATATTGATGAGTCAAAATTTTTATTTGTGACAAAAATAGCACTTCCTAGAAAGCTTATGAAGGATACATCCATCGGCCTTACAATAATCATCAAAGTGAAAGGAAATAGCTTTTACAATGAATAATTGAGTACATTAATTGTCATGTAAGTGTCTAAAAGACATAAAAATCGTTAGTTGATAGTGAAGATAAAAGGTATGATTTATGAATAAGCATACAGGACATATTATTAAACCATTCGTCCATAACTAAATTCTACATAAGAATGGACAACACAACACAATTAATAAGCAATGAATAAACCTCGTTCAACTGTTAAACTAACCTATAAGTGCTTCTTCTTCACTTCCACCTTCATCAACAAGATAGTCTGTCAGATTTTTAAGTAATGGATTTTTACTCTTAATAGCCATTTCCAGAGCTGTATAATCACAAATATTCTTAAACTCCGAATCACCATTGATTTTGAGCTTACCAATCGTATTCAAATCATTTGTACTATCAGGAATTTCCAAATGACTCCATAGATTATGTTTAGCATCTAAACGTGCGACAAGTTGCGCAGCCAAGAGTAAATCTTGTCGCATAACTGGTTTATGACGTGTGAGAGGAGTAAGAGGACGAACTCTCTGGGCTAAATCACGATTAACCGTAGCACCTAATTCTCCGTTTGGCAGTTCAAGTTTTTCGCGTAATAAGGTACTGGTATTTAACGCCCAACATATCTTTTTGATGTTAACAGAAGGATCATATGTGGCCCATGCATGTCGCATAAATCGACGTTCAGGAACAGGTTCCCAAAGAGCCAATCTTATGAATCCAGGTTGAGAAGCGCAAAGCTGAAATAACAAACATAGTCACTAAAATATTGCTGTGTTGATTAACTGACAAAAATATTAATTATAATAATACACCTTACACAGAAAGATAACAAATTAGTATCAGAAAATACTTCTATAATAGTAAATCAAAACTAGTGTGCCGTAAATTTGCCATTACCACCACAAACTACCTAGTGTTATTGAGGACATTAGATTCAACTAAGTAGGCAGTTAAACGAGTCTAGAATATTTGATGAGACTATAATTTATGGACGACCTTTGAGCGACGCCAAAGTGACCTTGAGTATCTACCTACTTACTAGGGCTAAATGACGGTTATAAATCAGTTTGAAGAATAAGGATTATGACTCACAGTCGATGGTTAGGGTTAGGAATTAGATTTACGGTTTGTCATCACGAACTAACATAAGTTAAAATGCCAAGGCGCTATTTGGCCAAATAGGTGAATGTCGCGCCGACAGCCAAGACCTGTTATCCTAAATCCGATTGATTCATCCATAAATTATAGTCTCGCCAAATATTTTACTTCAGTAACTTTGTTTAGAAATATAAAAATCTAATTTCTTATTCCAGGATAGTGCGACAATTTACTATTCTTCCCGCATTATGCTAAACATTTATTTTGGTTTGGTATGAGACACGAAATGAACTAGTTGAGCTGCTTGAAGTAAAGTGACGTTTGTCGAATCTGATACTAACCAGTAGGATTAAAGTTGATTAGTTGACAGGGCATAAGACACTTGTAAGTTAAGTCAGTCAAACGCAACGTAGAACCTGAAACATATGTACATCAGTTGAATTTGTTATATCCTATTAGTATAGCAAGATGAAATTATCAGGTCGAATTTCAGAGTAGCACAAGTAGTGACAGTATGAATGATAACAGAAAAAGTTAGACACTGGAAAAACGATTCAATAAATTAATGTATAGTAAATACATCATGACAATTGATAAAGTAATTAGATGATTTTGTCAATTGTACAAAATCTCATCTCACGAGAAACCCATCTCACTGACAAAATTTTTATGGAAGCGAATCAATTTCACCCGATAACTATACGGATAGCATATGTCTAGACTCACAATATCATCCAAATAAGTTTAACGTTTTTCCGAAATATGAGAAACATGATTTATAAAGTAGAACAAACCTCTTTGAGTTCGCTTTCCATTATAGTTGGAGGTAACGCTCGGAAGAATATAGAGGCAGTTTTATGTAGCAGTCTTGGTGGATTTGCACACTTGGACTGAGGAGCGTTGGAAGGATCTCCAAAAATAGGATGTTTGACAGGTGTATCATTTACCGAGCCGATGATCATAGAAACAGAAGAGTCTTCATTTTTACATCCTCTTGGGGACTCGGCAGTTGTAGGAGTGGGTACATCGTCGTCATCTTCGTCAACTTCAGACCTTGCAACGTCATGAATATTACCGAGTTCATCTGTAAATTATAGAAAAATGTCATTTTCGCGATCATAACTAAATAATATTTAACAACTTGAAAAGACGACTACACATCAGAGTTTTACTATGGACAGGCACAAACGATAGAGGTCTATTTGAGAACAATGACATCCAACATGCTGGTAAATCCAATGTCAATTCAGCTAGGTTAACTCAATCACCAAGAACAAGATTTAGTACGGTAACTTGGGCTAACAGTTATTTGTGCTATGCTATACGTTGATTATGACTGACTGCTAAATACAGGTTTATCAAACAAAAAGTAGAAAATAATCCTTATTAAACAATTAGTTTTTTTCATAAATTTTAATAAAAACAGTCGGAAGATGGAATTGAACTGGAAATGTGGTGTATTTGTGTTGTATATTTGAACCATATGAACTCATCAAAGTACTTTATATGAAAATCAATATAAGACCAACTAACTAAAATTCCAAATAAATAAAGTGATTATTGTAAAAGGAAAGATAAAGATTTGGCATAATATGGAGAGAATAGTAAATTGTCGCTCCGGTAAACTTGGGAAGTAAAACACTATGTTCATCGGTAGCACGATATATAAAGGAAACAGGGCATAGAATTGACATGAAAACAGCTTTAAAAAGTTGTACAGAAATTCTCAGGGATGAATTTTTAGGTTTGCAGAAGCCTCGTCTATTCGTAAGTTCAAACCTCCTGTGTGTGTACAGCTTGTTATATATATATATATATATATATATATATATATATATATATATATATATATTTCAACACATAAACATTGGTACAAAGTGACACCAAAACCTACATGCGCCACACAAAGTAGTTATTCGATTTGTGTGAACCATCAGAGTCCCTAAACAGAAACAGATGGTTTTATTAGGGGACCACTAGTTTGTACAATTTGTCGTACCAATGAACTTTGCCCTGATAATCTTTAAGCCACTATATGGTCTAGGCTAGTGCGACAATTTACTATTCTTACCACATTATGCCAAACTTTTATTTTGGTTTGGTACGAAAGACACATTTTTACACAAAATGAACTATTTGAGCTGCTTGCGGTAAAGTGAACAAGTGACGTTAGTTGAGTCTGTTGCTGACCGATACTAACCAATATTAACAAACCCCCTTATATTTACACAACTTGAAGTAAAACATCAAAGACAATATTTGCTTGTTCAAAATGAAGCGAATTGGTCAAGTGATGAAAGCGTTTTTAAACAAGATAAAAATGCACAGGCGAATTGCACATATGTATCTAAATGAAACTAAGCTAATAGAAGGATTAGTCTGATTAACATGGTTTATAAGATTTATACCTCTATTACCACCAGACGGTTAACAGATCTAAAATAGTTTTCACGTTTGACTGGGTATGGACCAACTAGCAACACACCATTCGTTGAGGCTGAAACACAGACACCTAATAATCAACATTTGCTCCAGACCATGTTTTTTTCAAGAGGGAGGGCGGGCCTACCCCACTCTCGGCCCTACCAGGGCATTCGGGGGCCACAGACCATGCTACTAATGTCTCTTTGACTTAGTTCAAATATTATCGTTACTATTATCAAGTTTCCCAGCTTAAGAAAGCAAATAACCAGAGTTAAACTCACTACACTTCTGATCAACTTCAGCTTTAGGTTTGGCGCTTTCATCAGCTTCGTCATCGCTTGAAGAACCACTGTCACTATCGCTACTCTGGCTACTTTGTGAAGGAGCTGAGCTACCAGACTTGTTTGACTCAGTTCGTGCACGTCGGTTAGTTGTTCGACACTCCACAGTAGAACCTGGAGTGTGAAGAGGTTCTGGCATCACTTTTCTAGGAAGTTCTGTGTTAGGCTTCTCATGTTCGAAATCTTCATCAGATTCAGCCTCTCCTTCACTTTTATTTTCACAACAAATAGGTCCAGAAGACTAGAGACAATTGAGGGAAATTTAAAACAATTATTCACAGAATCATGAAACAAAATTTCATAGATTAAAGTTCGAAAACCACAAAATAGACTCGTTTCTCTAATTATCCAATGAAGTTTAACTTCTACAAAATTCGAAAAATGGGTGTGGAAAGTAAATACATGGAAATGATGAATCCCATGTAACTTAGCCACTGAAAGAACCATCAGACTTAAAATTTCATAATTTATAGAGATTTGGAGGATTCCGTTACAAAAGCTCTGTGAAATGAAACACTATAGCTAACAAGTCCTAAATATAAATATATCGTGTGCATGCAGAACTAATCACAAACCAAAAGTTATGTCATGAAATTCATCAACATATTGCGCATGGCAGTCCAAAGCAACCTACCTGAGACTGATGTACTACTTCTTCGTCTGAATATCTATTACGATCAGATTCTTCAAGTACCTTTAGGTCTTCATCAGAACCACCTTCAAGTTTGATAACAACAGCATCCATGAGTTTTATGAGATTCTCACTATTGTCCATCTGAACAGACTGATTTTCGAGAAAGCCTTTATGTAAAAGCTCCATGAAAACATCTAGACGATGCTTGGCTGCTGCGCTAAGAGCGGCTTTTCTTTCATTCATGTAATCGGGATGATAACGAAGACGAAGCCTATACAACAATATAAGTGTATAAATTTGCGTCACTATTAAGTTATTTCAGAGAATTTTAAAACCAAAACGGTAAACTTCATGTCTACTTAAGCTGGCTGCTAGATATTAACTAGATGAGGGAATGTATTCAGTAGAAAAGACTGCTTTTGATAACTACAAACTATGATGACTAAATATTCAGACAATCATGGCTGAAAAAACAGATGGCCTAAACTTCTGATTCAAGAAAATATATAATGTAACCTGATTACCAGATGTGAATGCCTGTACTCGGTTTTAAGCTAAAACTTAGGTACTTTGGAGATACCCTAAGGTCGAAAACCACCACTAACACATTATGAACGAAAACTTACCGACTCAGGTTCAGAATTGTTTTAGGTGCTTTAAACATGCCAAGTACGCAATCAAGTACACCAAGTTTGATATCGTATTAATTGAATCATCCAAAAGAGCTTCAAATCTTCAATCGGTTGCACTAGTCCGACCTATGATTTTGAACACCAAAGATTGCTACTTCGACTTAATATCGTTTATGACACTAATTAGTTAGAGAACCAAGTCTACCATCAAAATGAGAAGCATCAATACACTTATAGCTGGATTCGTCCGAAACTAATACCCCGGAGTCGACTACCTTAAGGGAATTGTCTTGACACACTCATGTACGAGACTTTAGATAGTTTTGAAAAGCAGTAACAGGTGTGTGAAATAATCCCACTGAAGCATCAGTTATAAGAGCAACCATTCCAGTGGGTTTTATCGATGACTAATGGGGATATCTATTCATTAGTGACCAATAAGTTTATCGAACTTTCTTTACATATCTAACATTGGCATTAGTGAAAACAAGTTACATTTACGACAGCTAGTGATCACCAACATTTTTGTTGGGTCGGAACGCAATGGGCCTCATCAACTCACTTCCTCAGCATGACTTAGCTATGACAGCAATACAAACACAATGGACTGCCACTTCAATTTAAAATAAACTGAAAGTTTGTTGACGTTATCTAGTAGCAGTGACACGGTTTAAAAGATGGATTAAACATAAACCACTGTATACTGACTTACCATTCCTCATTTTTGTGTGCATCAAAGAACTCTTCGGTATGACGCTTCATATATCCTTCTTTGTATTCTTTGTATTTACTACACGCCTCTTCTTCAGTTATCAAGTCGTCCAAAGGATCAAGAAACCGTTTAAATGGTATTACTGGAGGCCTGTACATGCCATCGTATTCCGAGACACTTGAACTTTTGGTATCCTTTCGCTGGTATGAACTTGGTTTATTATCATCACTGTTATCTTTACGAGGTCTTTTGTAAGGAGGTTCTGCAGGTGATCGTCCACGGTCATTCCGACCTTCACCTGACAAACGATTATCTTCACGAGCCGGTGCAACACCTACAGTACCTGATCGGTCGTCGAATGGCTCTCGTTTATCACCAGGACGACGACGTCCATCGTGATCACTACGTTCACGGCGAAATTTGTCACGGCTACGACGGCGATCGGATTCTTCATCGGAATCTGCCATGTAAAATCTGAAAGATAAAAGAAACTCTTAAAAACTCTTCGAAACTTAATTCCCCTGTAACTACCAACAAGTACAGTCCGATGTTCAGTAAATTAAGCAAACGTATCGATAAGTTAACTCACCAAATAAGATGCAGGTGTAAACTGCATTAGCGCGATGCATGTTTATGATTATATGTGTGAACTAGTTAAAAACGACGTTGTTATGTATAAGAACTCGAAACTCGAGAGTAATAGAATCCTCTCCGACTGGAGACACTGTTAACATACCTTACGAGGGACAACCCTCTGGTTGTTTATCTGAATTCCATCAGCAGATTTAAACAAAACCCAGTCTGAAGTTGGAAGAGATAAATAGAACACTTTCCTCAGGTAGTATCCCTGATACTGTAAAGACACTCGATTATCTGACAAGGGAACTCAACAATAGGTCGACTACCTCATCATAAACTACGACCAATATCTTGTTTCAGTTTCAGTTTCAATTTGGGAGGGACAGGAGGCTTGATGGCCTGTGTTAGTCCTGGCAATGGTGGTCTCTCAGTTGACCCAGCTTTCTTTTGAAAGAGTCGACGGATGGAGCCCCAACCACGTGCTGAGGTAATGAATCCCACTCGCTGGTGATTCGATGGGAAAGTCGATAGTCAGCTTACACGTAATTTGTTCTGGGCTTGTGAACTTTTTTGGAGTGTCCTAGTAAATTCTCTGTTTTAGAAGACAAGGAAAGTGAGGGCGTATCAGGTGCAATTTGAAAACTGTAATCAAGCCTCTATTTCTGCGATATGACAACGGGAAAAGGTTCAGCTTGGCCAGTCGAGCTTCATACGAAAGCTTCGCTATTCCGGGAATCAGCTTAGTTGCCGTTCTTTGAACCTTTTCCAGAAGTTCACTGTCTTTTTTTAGGCAGGTGCTGGCCGCTCGTATGAGGTACTCAAGTTCAGGACGTACGAACACTGTATACAAAGTCAAAAACGTCCTAGCGTCGACATGACTAGAAGCCCTATGTATTGACCATAAGGTCCTAAAACCTTTGGCGGCTATTGCGCGGCAGTGTGCAGTAGTCTTTAGGCCTTGGCTAACGATGACTCCTAAGCCATTATATGTCTGGACGACAGGTAGCTCAGTGTTATTCATCGTGTATGCATCTGTACCTTGATGATCGATATGCATCACAACACACTTGGAAGTGTGGGGGAGTGTTGTAAGACCAGCGAAATGTCACTAAGCCCTAGCCAAATCATACGGCAGTTGGGTCATTGAATATCGAGCAAATCATCGATCCTCGTCGAGGTCAGAGACAACCAACGCACATCAATTGATCATATGCCATAGAATGGCCCATGCGGCAGTGGTCTTAATTTCGCTTGTATCTACTTTAACTAATATACTTCTGTAATATCGTCCTCTAAGGTGCACGGTCTCCAGAGCATCTATGGTACCTCGATACGTCAATGGGGTAGTCCACGTAAGGTGCTGACCACGAGGTGTGACTTCGATGCTAGCTAGTTTGTCACACCATTCACGTCTAACTCGAGTAGGCCTCATATCATTTTCGACATAAGATCATCTACGTTGGTGATCTACACTGGTGAGCCCGACGTGATCTGGTGTGGATGCATGACCGAGCGCCTTCAGCTAGGTGAGTCCATTAAAAAATGCGGTACGCATCCAATGTCGAAAACTTACAGAGCTATTTATTTTGGGAATTTATTTACCGCCACAGAAGTATTTACTGGCAACTGCTAGGTTTGAGACCATTTAGATCATTTCTTCAGGTCATTTGGGGTTCTAAGCTATCACCCTCACATCGTATCGCTCTACAGATCTTGACATCGTCAGCATATAGCAAGACCGATGATGATAGGAGACGAGGAAGGTCATTTACATACAACAGGAATAGCACTGGCCCCAAAATTGTACCCTGGGGCATGAGTCAGTCGAAGCTAGACCACCATGAAAAACCTGGAAGCACAAGACGGCCGTTTGATCCTGTCGTGGGGCTTCTCATCAGTGCGCATCCATGACCTCGCCCCCAGCGACATTCGAACCCAAGGCTTAATGGCTTCGCGCGCTAGCACTTAACCACTAGACCACTGAGCCAATGGTTATATGTATATATATATATTGTTATGGATTAAAGGGAGGGCTGTGAGACCTCCTCACTGACAAAAACTATACGCCAGAGCACAACCGATTAGGTTTCGTCGCGAGTTTCAACTCACCGAGGTGCAATGGTGAGCCTCCACCTGGGGTCAGAGCATTCCTGATCACCCTCGATCCGGAGACGCGTAACCATTAACTCTTAACCTCCAATCTTTTCTTACAGTCACGTCACAGAATGTCAAATGAAGGAATAAAAGAACTTAAGGGTTAATAAATGCGTCGGCTTTTTCGAGAATGAAGACTATTTTCCAGTAAAAAATGAACTCTTGTACTATATAAATGCTAGATAAATCTTCGTTTATTCGAACAAAACAGTGAAGATAAAGAGCAATCTTCTGAAAAGGATTTGACAGACTCCAAATGCTTGATTTTTTAGTATTTTACATCCGGAAGCATATAAGCCTATTATTATAAGAGTTCCCTTAATCCGTTGTCCAGTATATTAACACAGTCTATATTCCCAGAATTTTCGTAGTCGGAAGGTGGTTTCAGGGTCTTAACCCAATAGGGTAATATTTTTAAGGGACGAAAACTCTATGGTGATAGTGCATTTCGATAATATGATATTATCGGCAGGTAGGACAAGCCAAACAGCCTCGAATTCTAGGTTTATTGCCGGTCCCGAACACGAAGATGGGAACGGTGTTGGGTAAATGGTTAACCACCCCATCCCTTACAAAACAACCCTGCCAGGAAAGAGCTAACCATGAAACGTTATTTAAAGCGTTTGAGCTTTGCCCTGGGAGTTGAATTATCTTCATATATAAGAATTATGACGCCCCATGGTGAAAGACTAGATTCTTCGGATGTCACGAGGCTAATCCCCATTCTAGCAATCAAACTAATAACTAAAGTAGATACACAGGATTTCCGGACAATGTGGGAGACTTGAGGAGCCATTTAAATAGCTACGTACATAGAGAGATATAACCTGGCAATGCTTGGAATAAGCATCCTACAAAGAAGAAGGACGGGATTACAGCTGATTTCGTCTTGTGTCATGACCTCCACATTGACCAAAGGAGAGATAATGGTTGAATTTATGACTGAACTTAACCTATCCCAGGTGAGTGCTTGACTATTCATAAGGGAGACCTGAAAGTCAAGGTTGTGACGAACAGCATTGTGTAGGCAGATATCATTGAACGGCTTGGACTGGGAGAAAGGAACGAAGATTGTGAGAGATGTGCGAGTTTATGTGCTCACAGGTGGTAAGAAATTCCCTTACAAGCACGCACAGAGGGCTACGTGAGTTTCGTCGGACCAAATTACAGGTAACCAGGTTGATTACATCTGCAAAAACAAAAAGTTCGGAAGGTCTGTGGTGGTATTGATTGTTAAACACATGACCTTTGAAGATGAGTACATGATTAATGAGAAGATTTAGACTTGGCTCTCAACACTTATGGGAGGTAAAAACTGGTGAACTCAGAGACTCGATCGATATGGTGTGGCCCAACCATGCGGGCGTGGTTACTGTATTTAACCTCTTGCTTTTTGTATCAAATACATTACTCGCTTCCCAGCCCGACTGTGTTCTTCTGAAGTTCTAGGTTTCAGATTGCTAACTGTTATGGTAAGACGAGTCGGTATAGACTATGATGTGACTCTCATGTAAGATTTTATAAGTTAGGTAGTTACATCGTGAGAAATCTAAAATATTGGGATTAAGTCCATTTGTATAGTAGAAAAGATCAATGTACATAACACTGACGTAAACATAAGGCTCTCTAGGCTCTGTTCATCCTTAAAACACATGCTAAGTTCTGTGCCTAGGTATTTGTCATACCACAGTGCCCTTTTTATACACAAGTTGCACATGTTCAAATTAAATAAGTCTTTAGATTAACTATTTGGCAGACGTACTGTTATTTAGATTGGTAAAATCCGCATTTATTTGCATATATTCATGCTGGTTGAAGTGAGTATATATGATAGGATCCAAATGCTTCTCCCTTCAAACTTGTTTCCCCCGGCCAGCTTAGACACTGATTTCTTAAAGAATTCAGTAGTTCATACATTGTTAACTTCATCTTGGTAAATCCCTCTGTCAAAATATAAGTAAATCCCTTCATGCATGTTTTGCATTGCGGCTATTTACTTGTTATCACGTATCGTTTCTTCTATTGCTCTTCATGTTTTAGTATATTCATTCCTAATTTTGTTCGCATATAATCACTATTGCAACATTTATTACAAATTTAGGATTGTAACTGACTTCCTAATGTCGTTGAGTCATTTAATAACTGTTCATTTCTCTTTTACATTATCCATTCTTTCCGCGGTTTCCATACTACTTTTAGATGTGACTGTGTGAACTGATTGCTACTGTTCTCCGTCATTGATATAGGGGCACATTCCCCGTACATTTTAGGAAAGTTTGCAGTTGAAAATTGAGAGTGATTCCAAGTCAATCATTAAAGGCACGAAGTTCAGCGAAGGGATCCCTTTTCGACAAACTTATTATCAAGCCGTACAGTCTTATATATGAAAATCTTTGGTTAAAGTACTAGTTACGTGAGGACATATGAACAAGGAACAACCATGATGATAAAAACTAAAGATTATAATACTAGATTACGTAGTGTGAATAATAACAATAGATTTAATAAGTTAGTAATGAACTATAACTTGAATGAAGTAAGATTATTAAGATGTCTTTGCTACAACATTTAAAAATAATTAATGGTAATAGAGCCGTGAAACAAATGAATTGATATCATGAGCAATTATGGATAAAATAATGAGAATATGAGACAGAGATAGCCGGGACAGGCCAAGGTAACGACAACGATAGGAAGTAATTATTTCGTACTCATCATTCTGGCTTCAGTTCATGGATGGTGAGAGCTTCCGCTATTTTTAGAAGTTGGATAGCATTTAATAGCGTCAATACAGTTAAGTGCATGACGTCTGAGTGTTTTTCCATTGAATGAACTTGGTTTCACCATAGTGCCTTCCAGAAACGCTTAAGATAACCATTACTGTTTATACAGCTTTCAAAATATTGCGTATACGATTCGTTCAAATCTACCTGTATGATATATCTGAAATGTTTTAGGTGTTCCGTACAATCAGTTTACACCCCTGAAATCGGATATACCAGCGAGATATTACCAGTCACAAAAATATTAGGAACAGCACAA